AAGCCCCAGTACATAGTTGTCTGTCATAGCTGCACATCCTTCTAGTTGCTGTATGTGGGATGCGGCCTCAGCATGGCTGGAGGAGTGGTGCCTCGGTGCGCACCCGGGATCCGAACCCGGGCCGCCGGCAGCGGAGAGCACGCACTTAACCGCTAAGCCACGGGGCCGGCCCCTCTTGAATTTCTTAATCATATCAAATGCTATAGTTTCTTCTTCTGCAATACTCTTTTTTTTGTCTTAGTGTGCTAACTCTGATCTCTAGTACAGTTTTGTTCTTATTGTCACATATTTAATATTTTCAGAAACTGGCAAAACTCCATATCCATGGACTAAATTCGAGATTTCCTCCAATTCTTCAAATATCTCTTTGCAGATATCTCCCAAATTTCTCTCTGCTGCCTGCCGTCCTTGGGTTCCAGTCCTACATTTGCCACAGTCTCGAGTCAGATGCCTCCCACCACTTCCAAACCAGTGAGTCTAACACTGAACTTACTGCCCTCAAACCATCTCCCATCTCATCTCCCTTATTAATGATAAACTTCAGTCATCTGTTAGCCCTCCGTCTCTCTCACTCAATTTCTCTCTATTCTACCTTTGTGAGATATCTCTGCTTTTATTTCATTTATTTTTATTGAGGTAAAACTAGTTTATAACATTATATAAATTTCAGGCATCTAGTATAGTTTTGGAGAGTAGATGTCTTCACTTAGTCCTTGGCTTTAAAAGGCATTGCCTCTAATGCTTCACATTTAAATATGACTTTTCTGTCTAGATTTTTGGCCGACAATTTTTAATAGGTTAAGGAAGTTTCATTCAATCAGTGATTTTCTAAGTTTTTAACATCCCAAATGGGTGGTACTAAGCCGTTTATAATGCAAAGAAGCTTTGTTCTTTAAGCCTGTCCAGTCTTCTTGGAGGACTTGTTTTTTATATTTGGAGATGCTTCTGGAAAGCCTTCTTCCATCTTTGAACCTGTCTCCTTTTCACCCCTAGCCTTGCTGAACCCCTTCCAGGGAAATCCATTTAACTTAAATCAGCTTTGACTGGGATGCTGTTCAGTTTTCAGAGATTAGCCCATTCACAGAAAGACCTTAAGGGCCTCACAAATTACCTCCAATCATTTCACAGATAGCTTACAAGAGATACAAGTCAGAGTCAGAAGCCCAGCTATTAACGGTGGTCCACACAGTAGAGCCAGGGATAAATCTCTCTTAAGAGTCTTTAAAGAAAGTATGAACATGCCTCAACATTCCATTCTCTTCAAGCTCTACCTCACTCCTTAGTCAATGAATGAGCTAGTCCTGCAAAAAAACTGACACAAATGTACCCCAAAGCTTCCAAGTGGCCATGACAGCTGGAAGAGGATTTGACTGTGCATTCTTACACCTGTGAAGGACACTACTTCTATCGGGGAAAAGTCCTCTTCAAGTGTTATCAACTATTGCAGTAAACAAAGATTCAGCAAAAATAATCCCTGGGCCTTATGAAAATGAAATGACATTTCAGTGCGCTTTCCCATCTTTTTTTCTGTGGGAAAACAGCTGGCTTTTCCCTTGTTTCTTTCATTCTTTCTGTGCCACAGTTAATAGGGGATGCTTTATAGTTTAGTCTTTTTTTCTTCTTCACAACACTTAAAAGGCAAAATAATTCTTCATATTGCTTTCAAGCCAGGCTGCATCAGCATTGTACCTGGGAAGGAAATGGCTAGGTTCTGGGAGAGACTTTTTTTTTTCCCTAGTCAAAATACATACGTTGTTGGAGGATTTCTAGTCAGCCAAAAAACGTTTGACTATTTCATCCTGAGTGCTATATAACTTTCCGAAAATGTTAGAACATCTTATGCAGGCAGCATGCCTTGAGAAGCCTTTATCTCCCTGGGTGTAACCAACTTAACAATAAAGTTTGACACCTTTTGGGGAGTCATTTAAAAAGCCACAGGTTGGGCCGGCCCCGTGGCTTAGCGGTTAAGTGCGTGCGCTCCGCTGCCGGCGGCCCGGGTTCGGATCCCGGGTGCGCACCGAGGCACCACTCCTCCAGCCATGCTGAGGCCGTGTCCCACATACAGCAACTAGAAGAATGTGCAGCTATGACAGACAACTACGTACTGGGGCTTTGGGGGAAAAATAAATAAATAAAATCTTAAAAAAAAAAAAAAAAAGCCACAGGTTGCTTGTTGATTAACCAAGCACCCCAAAGCATGTATCTGAGTTCTTTTTTTGTGATCCTAAAAAGCTATACATCTATCTTGTACTCTGAGAGTTATACAGATGTACCACACATCCCTCACCCACACATGTGGTGGTGGTGGTGGGGATATATGGGAGATAAACACTGCTCTAAAGAGGCAAAGACGACAACCAATTTGGCAGTGGGGTAGAGTCAAATCCAGTTTTCCCACGCATCCTTATTAAAAGCAGCTGGTTAATGACAAACAATGTAGGCAAACAATGTTATTGATTTAAAAAGCAATTTTCAGTGGCCTTCCCCTTTAGGTTACTTTCGACATAAATCAGTTATTTTACGTATTTCCTTTCTTTGGTAAACAGAAAAAAGCATTTGCCTTTCTGATCCTTCACTTTGATACTTTTATTAGTATCAGGAACCAGTTAGGTCCAGACTGATATTAAAATGAAAAGTGATCTTCCGCCCATTTTTCTAAGGAAAACAAAAAGATTACAGATAAATTTCAAACTTCGGTTATGTCAAAAAATGTAACTCTTCTATATTCTCTAGTAGCAGACAGAAGAGATCAGGGATCCCTCAACATTCACATTATAAACACAAACACATGTTCAACCTCTTGCCATGCATTTTCTTCTCCCAGGAAACCTCCAGCATCACCACTGTTCCGCCACACGCCAAGCTGCGTGAGGGATACGTTGCAGAGAAAGCGAAGAAAAGACCCGGAGACAGCGAACGAGACATATGGGTTTAGTGGGGAGTTACTTACAGGGAAGGTCCAGTGCCGGCCGCCTGGGGGGGAAATGTGCACCCGCTCCCCCACCCTGAGAGAAGCTTGCTTAAGGAGACAGAGGAACAAAGGCTGCGTGCTTGCCAAGGGGGACTGTCCCTGTATGATCTGCATTCCAAGCCCCAGAGCACCCCGCCCTGGAGGGCCTCCGTGTTCCTTCAGACTGTGAGGGTCTCTGTGCTAACTCTCCCAGGAAAAAACAGGTGGGGTGGCCAAGCCCAGGACTGTTAGCGTCATGAGTGCTGGCGCCTAGCCCAGCCAAGGAGCCTCAAGGACACAGGGTTTAAAGGGCACATAGGCTAGTGTCCCTACAACCACTTACCTCATTTTATATGTAGCTGTTGGCAACAGTGCTTTATACACAAGCCTTTTTTGAGAACCGTAAAGCTGTGGTCACTTCTGTCCCCTTTCTTGCATTTTCCAGGTCAGCAGCTACAGGGGACAGTAGTAACACTGTCCTTATCACACTTAGAGCTATAAGGAAATTCCTTTCAAGATTATCTCCTCTATTTTGTTGATTTTAACAAGACACCTCAAAACTTTATACCGCGTGTGTTGGGCTTAAAACAGATTAAGCATCGGGATGTGTTCAGCATCAGGATCCTGTTTCTGAAGTGGAACAAAGCCTTCCCGACGCCTCGTTTTTGCTCATCCTCTGCCTTTCTTCCCCCGCCCCCAACCGACAAGCCCTCTCCCGGCGCTGGAGTAACAGCGGGCGTTACAATACTTCAAGCCGAACAAGAAACTGTTAAATCAAACACAGCATTCCCTACTGACAGACTACGTTCAAGGAAAAAAAGCCTCTCATTGGAAAGTTCCTGAGGGAAAGGGAAACCTACGATTTCGACTATCTTTGCAACTGTGAAAACTTGCAGTTTTGAGAAGAGAGAGAGGTATGAGTGGGCTGGCACAGCCATCGACACTGCGCGTCTCCCTCTCCCTCTCATCTTTCTACCTGCGACCAGCTGCCTCAGCTGCCCGCTCTGCCGCCCGGGGTAACCCCACGCCCCGGCCGCCTCACGCCGGGGAGGGGCCCGGGGCCCAGCCCAGCGGAAACGCCCGCCGCCCCTCCCCCGCCCAGCAGCCGAGGCCGACGCGGCGCGCCGCCGCCTCCCGGCCACCTCCTCCTCCTCGCAGGCAGGGGAAGGGGCGGGGCCCGACGTGACGTCATGCAGGAAGCCCGCCCTGGTTGGAAGGAATTTAGAAGAGAGGGGGGCGAGAAGGAGGCGGAGTCTAGTTTCCTTGGTGACGGGTTGCCCGGCGGTCGCCTGGTAACCGGTGGCGGCGGTCCGGGCTGCTGGGGCGCGGGCGGCAGAGGCCGCGGAGGTCTGAGGGCCGCGGCCCAGGCCGGGCTCTTTCTGTCTGTTGTGCGATGGCGGCCGCCGCGGCGGTGGTCCCGCCGTCGGGTTTGGAGGATGGGGTGTCCCGGTCCCGCGGCGAAGGGGCGGGGGAGGTGGTCGTGGAGCGGGGGCCCGGCGCGGCCTACCACATGTTCGTGGTGATGGAGGACCTGGTGGAGAAGCTGAAGCTGCTCCGCTATGAGGAGGAGCTCCTCCGGAAGAGCAACCTGAAGCCCCCGTCCAGGTGGGTGCCCTCGTCCCCCCGCGCCTGGGTGGCGGCCGGGCGCTGGGGGGATGCCCTGCTCAGGCCTCTGGGGAATGCCAGCGGGTTAGCAAGCGCTTGCCTCCGCCTTCCTAGCCAGGAAAGGGCGCTGCACCCCAAACTGGGCGACGGAGGGCCGTGGAGCTCATGGAGTTTAGACTTGGTATGTTGTAGGGAGTGAACAAGTTCTGGAACGGAGGAAAGGGCTGGAAGACAGCTTACCTAGTCTTTAAAGCACACGCGCACCTCTGCGAACACAAACTGTGTTTGTCCTGATTATAAAAGTACCTATTGTAGAAAACTCGGAAAAACACAAGAAAATGTGTAGAAAAATACTAAAATCACCCATAATCTCATCCCCGGAGGTAATGCCAGTATCTTTTAGATTATCTCTAGTTTTCGTTTTCTCCTGAGAGGACTTGTCCTGGAGTGGCAACCCTGGGTACCTAGGACCTTCCTGAGCGCTTTACATACAGTTAGTAAACTTGTTGACGCTTTGCTATGGTTTGCAAGACTTCTGCCTTTGCAGTAACAATACTCTCAGAAACTAAGTGGAAAAGACAAATGAAGGGACAACTATTGAAATTGTCTCTTTATCCTAGAACCTGAAGTTCTGCCCTTGTTCTGGTGGGGAAAAGTCCCTCATATCCTGAAGGCAGTGCCACTGGTTGCTGACAGTAAGAGACTGCTAGCATTTTCTCCTCCAATCAATGTAATGTAGCAATAGCCAGATAAGTTTTATAGCTTTTCCTTCACGTTAATACTTAACATTTATTTTATTGTGTAAGAGACTATTTAGATTAGGAAATCCGTAGTACTCTCTCTTAATGGCTCAATTTCCCATGACACCTTTGATCTCATTTCTTGCTCTCTTCTGGTAACTTGAATTGTAAGATATATAGGCTTCATGTAAACTGTCCATATGGCTAAGTCAGTCCATAATAGGAGAAAAGTTGGAGGAAAAAGTAGTGTTGTTTGATCCCTGATAGAAATTATAGGATTGGGAGTTTTTACTTAAATGAATTAATCAGGATAATGTAAACAACCAACATTTTCTGTTAATAAAAATGCATTTTTTTCCCAAGTATATTTTTCAAACTAAAAGAAAATGTCCTTAAGGGTCTATGGATACACCTCTGTACTATTTCCTCAGGAGTTCTGCAAGATGTTCACCAACGGTTCTCCAAGTTTGGTCACCGCACCAACAGCATCAGCATCACCTGGGAACTTGTTAGAAATGCAATCCCACAGACCCTTTCCCAGGTCTACTGTATCAGAAATTCTAAGGCTGGAAGTCTGCGTTTTAACAAGCCTTCCAGGTGAATCTGATGCATGCTAAGGTTTAAGAACTACAGTCCTAGCTCTACAGTATCTTTCAGTATCCATTCCTCTGTCCTGGAGTTGTTATCAGCCAGTAAGGAAAAGATGAGTTGTTAGCGGGGGGTCCTTTGAAAGGGTTGTGAGCATATGTCTGGAAGGACTTCCTGGCCTTTTTTTCTTCCCAGCTTTCTCTTATCTTTCAAATATTTACACTTATCCTGCAGGAAAAAGTTTGAGAAACATGAAGGAGTAGACTGCTGAATCTTACGAAAAATACTTGTAACAACTATAAATATATTATAAACAATAGTTATAGCTACACATAAAAAGGCAAAATAAGATCTTTGACCAAACTTACTTGAGTGTTGTTGCTATCAAGTTTTATTCCTAACATGTTTAGGTATAAATCATAGTGATCCTCATAGGCCTGTTTTTAGTAGGCTAGGGGATTTAACAAAAGTCAACAAATGTTTGTTAGACTGGGGATGGTGATACTCAGTGGTTCTTAATCCTGGCTGTACCTTAGAACCATCTAGGAAGCTTTTGAAATGTACCCATAGTGGGGCTTCACTCCCAGAAGTTCTGATTTAATCCATGAGGGAAGAAGCAATGTTTGCCCCAGTAGCAGTAGTTTTACGAGCTCCTTGGGTGATTCAAATATGCAGCTAGTTGAGAACAACTGTATATTATAGGTTAGAAACAGTAAGTAAATACGCCAATGACATTGTAAAAGTGTAAAAATGTGTGGTGAATAATCATTTCAGGTCTTTTTTTAAACTCTGAGACTCTCTTAATTCCAAATTACCATTTTCAGGAGGTAATCTCATTAATTATTCCTGACATGTAAATGATTTTGGCAAAAGTTCTACATGCTCTGTTTTTTTACATGCCCTGCATTTTCCGGGTGTAAGGTCTTTGACCTAATACTTTGTGTATAGTAGTAATTGCCCTAATCCTGTTGATTAAGAACTTTGAGTACTGTGGATTACTAGAAATTTAAAAGAGTGAATTATCAGTGTCTTGATTTTAAGGCCATTTGGGGAAAAAAAAGTCCTTTGGCAGTTTTGGACTTAGGTTTTTTAATTACTATAGGCTTATTTGCAGTATTTCATATTCCTTCATATTCTTCCCTTCCCCCTTGTTTTGAAATAGACACTATTTTGCATTGCCTACCAACCCTGGTGAACAGTTCTACATGTTTTGCACTCTTGCTGCTTGGCTGATTAACAAAGCAGGACATCCCTTTGAGCAGCCTCAAGAGTATGATGACCCTAATGCAACAATATCTAATGTATTATCTGAGCTTCGATCATTTGTAAGTATAAAGAGCTGTCTTCTTTCTGCATGTTCTCAAGTTATGAATTTTAATATTGGTAATTCAACAACATAAATTCTAGCCTTTTTGATAAATCCACTTTGAAAAAATATATATATTTATTATATATAATTAAATATATATATATATACACACACACATATATAAAATTATACCTGGATTTATTTTCAAGTAAAACTGTTGCAGAATGGTTGATATTATTTATAACATTAATGCCGAACATAATGTTCGGGATACACTCTTTATAACCCACAGTAATAATAATTTTCTTAATCTTGATATGTCTCAGAGATAAATTCATGGGTGCTTAGTTCTCCTTCTAAAAAGTGATAAAAAACTAGGAGGCTGAAACATATTGTATTTGAAAGGGAACTTTGATTTAATAGAGCATGGTAGCAGTTGTACTTTTCATTTTTGACTTTTCCTGGAACAGGCAGGAAGAATTTTTGGCACACATGGTATTAATTTTTGACAAGTGAGTCACTCTGTCCTTCACATGGTTGTTTAACTGTATGATACCAAGCTAGTCATTTGTTACTGATTTTTCACCCTAACAAGATCAATGATTTGTTCTGCTGAATGAGGTTATTGCCTTTTAATTTGATACTTTTGACAATAAAACGTCTTTATTTTCCTTTAGTTAATGTATCAATGGATTAAAAAAAGACTAAAGAGATGGATTTCTAAGAAGCAATGTAATTACAGTTATTTTAAATCATATTTGAAAAATAGAGAAGTGATACATTTATTCAGCAGTACTTTGCTTAAAATGTTTTGACATTTGGAATATAAATAACAAATAATATCCTGTTCATCTCTTGTATTTCAGGGGAGAACTGCAGATTTTCCTCCTTCAAAATTAAAGTCAGGTTATGGAGAGCATGTGTGCTATGTTCTTGACTGTTTAGCTGAAGAAGCGTTAAAATATAGTGGTTTCACCTGGAAAAGGTAAAAATTACCTAACCTCATAATAGTACTTGTATGTGCATGGCTTTTTCCTCTAAGAGTTCAGAGCTATTTAATTGAACTGATAAGTATTTCCTCTTGACTAGTCTAAACTGAAAATGCCACAGGTGATTAAAAGAAGGTCAGCTTAAGCAAAATTGGAATATCTAGTTCTTCAAAATCATTTCTGAAGTAATGTGTTAGATATCATTGTACCCCTTCCTGGTTCAAATATGTAATTCTTAAAGGTTTAACTGTAACTATATATCTTTGTCAATTTAGGACATTTAAAAAAAATCTATTTGCATGTGTTTGTTTACACACACAAGCATATTATACACATGGGGGTTACTGATAGCTGCAGATTTAAGGAAAAAATGGAAATTAATATAGTACTTTAAATAGGATTTTCTCTTTTGCTTATAGGGACTGGGCAACAATACTGAAGAAGCCACCTGACACTCTCTTAGACATTGTTCATTGCTCCTGTCTCTGACCTGACAGTGCTTCATTTATATTTCTATTATTGTTTTTATCCCATGGTATTAAAATCATTTGTTTACAGATCTGGCTTTTTTGCTAGAGGTGATGACATCTTCATATGTACTCTATGGCAGTTAGCATAGTGCTTCGTGTATCACAGATGCTCAATCAATGTTGACCACATAGATGAAGGAATAAAATATTCAGAAACTGTCCATTTATGTAGGTTATAATTAGAAAATATATAAATTTGGTCCTTTGAAGATTGGGATTATTGATAGGTCAGAGATTGTAGAAGGTATTATTCAGGTAAAATATAAGCAGTGATTTTTGATTTAGAACTAACTTCTTTAGAAAGGTGCACATATTGTTCCCTGTTAGTATTTTAATGTATATTTAATTATATTCTCTCAGGTAAATAATCTACTCCCTATTAATAAGTACTTTTAAAAATTTACTTGACTTAGATTGAACCGTATGAAATTACTGATATTCATCTATTTTTGACCTAAAAAAAGGCAGTTTCATTGCTTCAACCCAAACATTACTAATACTTCTTTACTAGATTCTAAGATAAGTTATGAGATGTGCTGCTCCATTTGACACTTTTTAAAATTATTAAATCTGTTGCCCAATGTATTCTAAATTCAGTTATTAATAGCTAATAGAAGCTATTACTATTTCAACCACTATTTGGTTTTTTACTCCCTTTGTTTCTGGGCATATGTTATTCTTGGCCATGTGTTGTGACTTGGATAATTTATAAGGACTGACATGGGGAAGAAAAGGGGAAAAAACATTGAAAAGCAATAGGCATTAGAGAATATATCAGCTATGTAATATATAAATTACATAGATGTTACCTATTTATAGATGATTATTTTATATACTTTTAAATATACCAAAACAAATCCTAGAGCAGTTTTTGAGATATTATCTAATTCTAATTAATGAAAATTAGGAAATTTATTCTTTAAGAAGATTGATTTGGTTCACAGTACTTTCCTTCTTTAATATTAAATGTTGATTTTTGTATTTTGTTAACCTGTCTGAGGTATGGATTTTTAAAATAAGTTTGCAGAATAAACTCAAATACTTTTCAGTATTTTTAATATGGGAAATACATGTTATTAATCTTGATGGAGAAATGATTGTTCAATACTAAGTGTTAGGACCACTAATTAGATTTTGGAAATAAGAATAAAGCTAGAGCCCTTCTTATTACCTATATCAAAATAAACTTCAGGTTGACCAAAGATATAAATATGCAAAATGAAACTACAGGAGTACTAAAAGACCAGAGGGGTGTGGGACATGTGGTGTGAGGGAAAGCCTTGTATATGTGTGTTAACACTAGGGTCTGTGCAAGAAAAGGTTGCCAAGTCTATGTAATAAGAATTGTAACAGTCCTGAATAGCCAAGATTATAGGTAATAAACTAAGCAAAATATTTTGAACACAGATTAGGCAAAGTGGTTAATTTTCTTAATATACAAAAAATCAAAGGGCAAAAGGCGTAAATAGGCATTTCACTGAAAAAGAAACACAACCAATTAAAACATGAAAAGGTGTTCAACCACTCTCATGAGAAAGAAATGCGATTAAAACAAGAAAGAGATTTTTTTCACTTAGATGATTGGCAAATATTCAAGTTTTTATACCATTTTGGTGAATGTATGGAAATGGAGTCACTCTTGTTGGGAGTGTAAATTAGGGTAACGTTTTGGAAGTTGGCTTTGGCAATATCTAGCAGAACAATAAAATGTACAAAGTTGTCGACCCAGCCATTCTACTTGTACAGATTTATTCTAAATGATATACATAATGATAAATGTACAGGGATGATCTTTGCAATACTGTCTAGTAAAAAAAACTAGAAACAATCTCAATGTTCAGCAATAGGTTGCCAGTTTAATTATGGTACTGCTGTTCAATGGAATACAGTGCAGGTATATAAAGAAAGAGAGGAAGATGTATATGTACTTAAATGCAGTATATTAGTAAGTGAAGAAAGTGCGTTGGACAACAATATGCATGGTATCATCCCATTTGTGTACTTATTTTTTAAGTTTGGAGATAAATGTTTTTGCTTCTTTACACAGAAAATTTCAGGAAGAGTATGTGAAACATTTAACAGTGATTTTGGAAGGAGGGGGTGAAAAAGGACAAGATCCGATGTAGAGAGGATCCTTAATATTCACATTATACCTTTTTGTCCAGCTACAGTGTTTTGTTTTTAATGCTCATCTCATATTAAGCCTTATTATTTTAGACCAACATACCCAATGGAAGAATTAGAAGAAGAAACTGTTCCAGAAGATGATGCAGAATTAACGTTAAATAAAGTGGACGAAGAATTTGTGGTATGTATGTTGCTGAACTTTCTGTTCATTTTCATCTTTGGATGCCTTTCCCTTCTCTTAGTTCCCCCAGACTTCCATTCTCTGGGATGTATTTTATTGTATCTAGAGAAGAAAAGCTTTTAAGTAGAGTACCAGTATCAGTTGTTTAGACCTTTGGTTAAGTTGATGCTCATGTTCTCTAATAGTTGAGGTCTGAATTTTAGGAGAGGTTGTTAAACTGTAGACAGGAAGTAGTAGGCCACTAGTTATATGAGTAAACATTTTATTAACAACCATCCATGATCTTAAATAGGCCATAAAAAAGAATTTAGAACAGAACAGTAAAGTTTAGGATTAATACATTCTATTTCATAAGAACACCATTCATTTCTCAGAAACTTCTTTATGCTTCTAAAATTAGATGAGTACTTTCTTGCAGGAACTTTAAAAAATACTTACAAATACCAACATTATTTAAATTGTTTGGCAGCATCTGGCCCTTTTCCCATTCATAACATCCTATCCATAGTGTGAAGCTAAATGATCAATTCTCTATAACTGCTTAGACTAGTAAAATGGTAGGGACATAGAGCTCTTTCTCAGAACCGGAGATGGATTGACCTTGGTGTTTTAGGTATACATATGATCTGAAATTGAAATGTTGAGGAAAAAAAAATGTCATAGTGTATTTTACTGTCATAAACCAATTCTTCAGGTGATTTTTAAAATCAATAGACAATAAGTATATTCTGTATTTCAGCTTAAAGTAATTTATTAAGCTATTATATGCTACAAAGATATTAACCACTGCATTGTTTTATAACAAATCCTGAAAATAACCATTAAATAAATTGGACTATATCCAAATAGTAGAATATTATGTAGCCATTAAAAATTGTTGACAGGGCTGGCCCGGTGGTGTAGCGGGTAAGTTCGAGTGTTCTGCTTTGTCGGCCGGGGGTTTCCAGGTTTGGATCCCGGGTGTGGACCTACTCACCACTTATCAAGCCATGCTGTGGCGGCGTCCCATATGAAGTAGAGGGCACGGATGTTAGCCCAGGGCCAGTCTCCCTCAGCAAAAAGAGGAGGATTGGCATCGGATGTTAGCTCAGGGCTAATCTTCCTCAAAAAAAAAAATTGTTTACAAAGAAATGTTAGTGACAGGAGGATGATAACTTATACTATAGCATAGACTCAACTATGTAAAATATGGAAAAAAGAAAAATTTCAATATGTTAACATTAGTTATATATGGATAGAAGGATTATGGATGATTTTTCTTTTCTATGCTTCTTTGTATCTTCAAAGTTTTTAGCATGTATTTTCTCAGCAGTATAAATATTTTAAAGTGTATATATAAAAATAGACTCTGCTATTTACAGAAGGAAAAAGACCATTGTAAAACTAATCAATTTAAAAGATATTTTTAATGTGATAAATTTTAAAAGTTAAGATAGAAATATATTCATTCATCCTGCAAGTGTTTATTGAGCACCTGTTATGTGACAGACGCTGGGCAAGACCCTGGTGGTACTGCATGTAAGAAAGCTCTGAGGGGGAAGGGGCTCAGCGTGATCAAGGAACTGAGAGAAGAACCACTGTGGCCAGATCTCCTGAGGGACAGGGAGGGTGGCTTAAGGTCAACTGGGAAGATAGACCAGGTCCGGATCATTTTGGGCATTTTAAAGAGTTTAGACTTTATTCTTTGTGCGATAGGTCTTTCCATTCAGGCTCAGAAAATTTTGAATCCTCACATCTTCCCAATTGTTCACCTCATTTATTTTCCTCAGTTATTTTCCTCATCTTGTCTTCTTAGTAACTGTTTATTAGTTAATAGATTGTCAACAGACACCTGGTCCTAGTGCATCAGCATTTAGCTTCAAAGACATATGACTTGAAACTGCCAGTCAGGAAAAAAAGTGCAAAAACCTACTAGTCAGAAAGAAAACTCTATGAGGGCAGAAACCAGTGTTGCCCTTTATTTTGTATATCCAGTTTATTGTGCAGTACCTGGTGCATTGTACGTGTTTATTAAATATTTGACCACAAAATCATGTCAGCACATTGCCATGTAACTTTTAGAAATTATAGCTAATTTTTTCCTGAGAATCCTTTAAAGTTCAAGGCAGCATTGTTAGGTATGTAAATTTGAGAAACAAACTAGAAAGCAGCCTCTGCACATTTCTTCCCGACTGTGAGGTAAAGACCTTCTGCTGTCATAAGACCAAACTGAAGGCCTTCCTCGAAGGGTTGCCTCTAAGGCTGTTAGTTCCCTTACATTGTGTCTCTTTAATTTTTTTCTTTCCTCTCTTCCTTAGTGTCGTCATATTGTTGTAAGGAGTCCTCTCTTCCCTGTCCCCTTCCTCTTGCTAGGGAGAACTGAATCAATGCCAAAAAGCCTTTGAATGGTGGGATATTACTTCACTTTGTTGCCAGAGTTTGTACAGTAACTCAAGGATGGTGAACATCATTTCTGATAGAGAAAAGTTCTGCTGTAATCATCTAGAAACTGGAAACCTTCAGTTTTAGACTGGCCAAATCAAGATAGAACACACTGATAATTGTAAAAAAAAAAAAAAGGAAAGAAAAAGAAGTATTGGTCACAACACACAGTATTCACACCCACTGTATATAATCACATCCTTTGTAATTGACAGAGAATTAAGAGGGTGCATATTAGGCAAAGAAATGGTAGGAAATTATTGAATGCCTCCTCAATTACTGCGATTAGCATCCTCTTAATTTAAAACTATTTTGTCTAAGTCTGTTTATATTTGAATTCCTTTCGAATGCTCTCTTAATAATATTTAATAACTTAAAATACTTTTTCTAGTACCTACTGTTAAAGCTTTTACCTGTTAGTGTTCAATCCAGTACAATTCAACAAGTATTTATTGATGGCCTATGTAAACAGTACTGATTAGGTCATGGTAAGGGCCTTGTAAACCTGTCTCTTCTCCCAGGGGCACTGAGTCATTGGCATTTCAGTCATTTACTCTGGTTGTTAAGTAGACTGTCATCAGTGCAAACACAGAATAGACTGAGCTGCTTTTCAAGGGTGTGCATCTGCATGTGTGCTTAAGATTTAAGATGTAAACAGATCAGTTTTGTCTACACCTCTATACGCCACTGCCTCCTCCCCCAAAAAATGTCACTTGAATGTATGGAATCTCCATGTGTATTGTTGCATATTTTACTAAAATCTTTCCTGTTCCCCAAAGCTTAGCATAGTTAATCTTACCTTAGTGGCCTCACCCCAGAGTTCCTGAGTACATCTGGGAAGGAACCTGAGTATTTGCATTCTGGCAAGCTCTTGGGTGATGCTGATGCTGCTGGTCTCAGAACCACATTTTGAGAACCACTGTCTTAGATACTTTTAAATTCTTGAAAATAAGGATTATTTTTGAAATCTACCACTGCAGCTTTTGTACGGCTCTACACGTGAAAGTGTCCACCAAACGACACTAACTTGTTTTTTTCTTTACAAGACTTGAGGACCAAGCTCCTTTGGCTTTATTACCATGTCCTTAAGCTTGGGGTATTGCTAAATTTGTTTCACCTACTTTGTCACTTGTCACCACAAAGATTTGAAGAGAAAGGGGAGCTCGTGTTTTTTCCTCGGTGCTCATAGAACCTGCTCAGAATCCATATTTACTGTATATAGGGGAAGAGATTGCCTCTCAAAAGGTCACTTCTGACCCCACCCCCCACACCAGTTGGCCCAGGGATCAAGACTAGCTTGGCATCTACCTGAACTATCCTTTTAGATAGTTAATATCTAAGATACAAGGTTAATATCTTAAATATATATATTTCATATCTTTAAATAGACTTAATATTTTAATATCTTTAAATAGACTTAGGGGCCACGGGCCAAGGTGTACTGGTGAGTTATTAACTTATTAACCTTGCACGTATAAGACATGAAATGTCAAAAATATGCATTAATGTGATTGGTCCCTGGAGCAGGTGAGAATATTCTGTGTCTGTCAACCTCTCATTTTTGTCTATTTGTCATGTTACTCAAAATTTCCATTAACTCCTTCCACTGTCTATTTATATGCTGCTTGGGACCGTTTCGTGTTCTGTTCTTATGTTTATTTATCCCTAGTTCTACAGCAATGGTGCCCTTTTGTCTTTTTTTCTTTCTTCAGTACCTGTGAAAAAGGCTCTATTTTAAATGGCACCATCAAAACCTCAAAAACACAGATGAGCTGCTAATAACACCATGCCCTACTTTATGCACGCTACTAGGCTTTTAAATACCTTTTCCTGCATTAGTCTTTATATCGAGCTTAGTATATTATGTATGTGAAAGCTGGAAATACATCTTTTAAATTATAACTTTTTATAATTATTAACTTTTAAAACTCTTTTATTTTCCTAAGGAGGAGGAGACAGACAATGAAGAAAACTTTATTGATCTCAATGTTTTAAAGGCCCAGACCTATCGCTTGGTAAGTTACTTGGGATACACACAGGACCAACAAGCAGTCATTACACGTGTTCTGCTGGAGATCGAAACAAGTAGAAACCATTGTTGGCCTTTGTTTTATGTGTCATTTGAAAAGTAGCTCTCAAAATTTTTTTTCCGTATATAAAATGTTATAATTATAGCAAATATAAAAATACAGAGGGGCAAGTAGGGCAGCCTCCTGTCTATACCATGGAACATCAACACAGTAAACTCCAAGTAATTTATTTGCCTTATGTCAATTTTTATTATGAAAAGACATATATTATTTGATTTCAAATTATTTTCCATTATAATGGGCAAGTATTGAATGGTCTTAATTATAGGAAAATACTTAAATGTTAATTCTTTGAAATAAAATGGATTATATTAAGACTGGTATATGAATAGGTAGTCAGACATTGGTTTGTCAGTTTTTGCTCTGTTTTAATTAGGAAATAAATCCAGTCTGTAAAAGAGAACCTACTCAATGAGGTATTTCAAAAGTACATATGGGATTTTTGTATTTTCCTATGTGTATATTATATTTCAATAAAGTGATGCCTCTTGCATACTAAAAAAGGACATACTGAATATAATATTCTTACTTGTCATTTATTTAATATTTTTGTCTAAATTCTACACACAAGTGTGGATCTAGTTTTGGGTTCATATCATGAAGACTTCCTTGGCCACCCCACACCAGGATGATCTCTTCATTTATCATTTACTGCCTTAGTATTGTTAGTCAGCGTTAGTTATTGTTATTAATGATTTCTACCCAACTTGCAGTATAATATAACATGATATACCGTTGTAGCTAACTTGCCTGAGTGTGTGAGTTGACTTTAATACTTTTAATACTTACTAGGTGTCTGACTTTGGGCAGGTTTCCAAACTTCTTGTGTCTTATCTTCCTCATCTGTAAAATGAGGATAAAAATATTACCGTTTTCATAGGATTTTTAAAGATTAAAAGAGTTACTATGCGTAAAGCATTGATAACAATGTCTGACACATAGAAGGTGCTCAGTAAGTGTTGGCAAAAACCAAAGCCACATCTTCTCCCCACGTTCCCCCTCAAACCTGGTTTGTATAAGCTCCTTAATAACAGGGATAACTATCATTTGTTATATTCCCCAGAGTGTAACACAGAAGATACTGAATAAATACTTCTTAAATGAATGAATGTATTTTTTATTGCTCAATTGAAATTATATCAGAATAATATGTTAGCATTTAAATCCAAACAAATAAACTCCGATTGTCACAATACATTTGCAGATCACTTTGTAGTTTTCAGAGTACTTTAAAACACGTCCTTTACTGACCTTGTGAAGTATTTGGGTAGGTGTTATCTCCATTTTACAGCTACAAAAACTGAAATTGATAATCTTGGGCCAGTTTAATCTTTTAAAAAGCTAATAAATTAAGAGTAGCTGAATTTGTACTCAGTTTCTCCAAACTCTCAAGTCTGTTGCTCTTTTCCCTTACCTCACTATAAGAGTTCAACAGGACAGGTATGGTTTGATTCCTTCCTTAAGCAAGGACCCTGGTGCTTGGTGTTCTTGTATGTGTTAAAGATGATGATGACAAAGTTCTCCTAAAGTATGAGGAAAAAAACAAAAGTAGAGATGCATACACAGTTATTCTCAGAAAGAAGCTGTCATTTGTGTTATTCATTCTCATACTGATGGTGTGATGAACAGAGGCCTGTAAAGGCCACCTGGGATTCCCTCTGGACAAAGGAGTTTGAGTATTGGGAAGGAGCAAAGAAATTTCATTTGCTTCTACCACTACTCTAAGTCCCTGTTGGTCCTGATTTCCATTTTTCACCTCAATTAAGCTATATAAGGAAGAGTTTTCGCCCAACCTATGCCTTTATATAGATCTTTTGGACAAGGATTATATAACGTATACCCTTTTGAGCTAAGACTGTGTATGGTTGCATTTTCACAAGGGGAAGAAGTCTGAACACCAGGTGTTTGTGGATGGTCAGCCATGAAGTACCAAAGAGGCGGAAAACCCTTTCATATTTTAAAAAATCCAGCAAATTTATGATATTGCCCACGAAAACAACCTGCCTGAGACAGCTGTATCTGACTGTAGTTTATAATGTCTCAGACTGCTCTCTCCCCAAGACAGAATTGCTGTATAGGTTAGTGACAGAGATTTAAGATTTTATGTTTCATGCAGCAGGTGGACTCATAATGCAGAAGAAATACTATTTTAGTGAAGTGGAATGTGATGAATTCTTCACTAGAACAAGAATGATATAAACCATCTAGGAAATGGATGTACTAAATATACATGTGGCTGTGCTAGCCCAACAGTGTATGGGTTATAGCAATCCCTCTCTACCTGTGGTTTCGAAACAATAGATACTTCTCCAGTCATCCTCTATCCTTTTACCCTGCTTTATTTTTCTTCACAGACCCTGGCGTTGTATTAATTTATGATTTGTTTAATGTCTGTCTCAACCACTAGAATGCAAACTCCTCTAGAGCAAGAGCTTTTTTCACTTGTGCCTTGTGTGTAGGGGTGCTCAATATTGAATAATATCGAATGAATGCATGCATGAAAGAGTGCTGTTTTATAATTTTATAGGCAAGGTATGGTTTAATCTTCATAGAGAAAAGAACTTCTCAACAATAATTGATTCCTCTTCTGTGTACCATGTGGGATAATGCAGGGAGAGATCTACTTATATTCCTTTCTTTCATTAAATAGAGTGAAGTCTAGACGCTGAGAAGTGTACTCTTAGTATCATGATAATTGAAGAAGATGGGTATACACAGGCATTTTTCTGAGATTTGTGGTAAATGGAGCAAGAGAGAATGCAAATGAAAAAGACATATGTTGCAGATTTGTGTTCTCTGGGAGTGGACACTGAGAGACTTTGGGGTGCAAGACGTTTATTAGAAGTAGACACCTGGGAAAGGAAGGGGAGAAGGATTGGGCCAAGGGAGAGGTCTGCCTGTGGTGGAGGCCTGTCAAAGCCTTGGCCGACCTCTTGAGGAGCTCTGGAGCAAGTGTGGCCTGCTGGGCTCAGTGCCTGGGAAGGACGTACCCCAGGGAGGGTGAGGTGGCTCTCTGGGTGAGACAGAGCCTGAGGGAGCTGACAGCAGGAGGCTGTCTGCTGGCCACATGCTCTGCAGCTGAGCACGAAGTCCTTCCTTGGAAGGGCACCTGCTGGCCCATCTTCCTGACTGCAACAATACATCTGAAGCCCGTGACTGCTAATTCAGAGAATTTGTAAAGAGATACTGTCTGCTCGTTGACTAAACTTGAAAGTGTCTGCCTAAGTGTTTCATGAACATTGAAAATGGTGTCTAAGAAAATGGTTCCTCCTATCGATGATGGATGCTTACAATGATAATATTGGTTTGTTTTGGAAGCAGCTGCTTTTCAGAACATTTATTTACTTTGAAGTTTAAAAAATATTTAAAGTCATTCTTGTTGTGTGATCTTCCCCTCTAATTCTATTTACCCCAATTATGGTTTTGCCAAATATAATACTTTTCAAGAAAATAGCTCCTGCAATTAGTGAGGGATTGCTTTATCTTCCACAGGTTCATTTGTGGGTTATTTGAATTTTGATATAGCTTTTCTCAGAAGGGAAAAAAATTATGGATGGATATTAGGCTTTAAGGCTAGCCCACAAAGTTCCACATTCTCTCTGTCCCTCTGATTCTTGAAAGTTCTTGAAATCTGAAATTTAGCCAAAACCTCCCTGAGAGTGGTCATGGGGGAGGATACCGGTGCTGTATTAAAGCTCTGACAGTTGGGGAGGGTCCCTGATGGTTAGGGGTACAGTAGAATATTCAGAGATGTGCGGGGTGGGAGCGGGGAAGGAAGGCTCTGGTGGCAAGGTGTTAGGGAGGTGTTGAGTCCTTTCTGTTTCTAATTGGAGTATGTCAATTGGAAACCGCCTGCACGTTCATGGTAGCTATGCTGTAATTACGAGTGGTCTTTGTAGCTCCCCTCCATTCTGAGCTCAATAGAATTATAACAGCAGTGTTCTGGCAGCATAACACACATGTGTCATTCTCCTCCTCCAGTAAAGAAAGATGGGAGGGAAGCTGTGCGCTCTCTGAATTCTATTTTTAAATGCCCATCACTTCATTTCAAAACATTTTTTTCAAACATGCCATAGATACCATTCTTCCTTGAGATGCTAAATTTGAGGTTTTAGAAACCAAATCCTGAGTTATACAGCATAAAACTATCTCAAAAGGTTTAAACACAATTGGTTTTTAATTACTTAGCCAAAAATTCATTGTACCAAGAACGAGAGACTTTTTAGCTTAAAAAGCAAAAGCTGAAAGAAGTAAAAATCTGGGCTTAGAATAAAAATGTCATTTTAGTTTTAGTTTAGAGTATCATCATGGCAAGTCTGCAATATTATAATCAAAAAGGGGAGGAAAGTGGATCTACTTTGGTTAATATCTTAAATACTTTAAATTTTTTTTATGTTACATATGACTTACACTTTACTTCTTGACGAAATGTCCTTTCTGAGTAGTACAGGAAAAAAAATTCTGTTCTATAACATAACTTGCCCTATAGGTTACCACTGGTTCTGATTCCTGACTGAGGAAAATGTTTTTCTCCTCTTTTCCTAAAACATTTGAGTGTTAGTCCTCCTATCTGTGCTGGGCTGTGAGAATTTTATGGTTGGTATTTCCCAGGAGGAACCATTAAAATACCGCATGTTTGAGTGTGATGGAACATATTATGACTGAGTAAATACTTTTATTTCTCTGGTAAGTGACCTGCACCAGCCCATCAGTTTTACATCTGGAGGTGAATAGGAAATGTAGGTTAGAGAAAAAAAGCTGTGCTCCTCACTGCTCAGAGGAGGCTCAGTCGGCAGTTCTTGCTGGGTGTAAAAGAGAATTTTGCTTGATCTTGAGTGTGGCTTTTGAATCCACACTTGAAATAGGGAGGATCCTTATTTCCATCCTGGTTTTATTGTGAGCCTAACAAGAAGTAGGAAGCAAGG